TTTCTTGTTTCCAGAATGTTTTGAGCTCTTCATTCTTATAAATCTTGCAGCAAAGTCAACTCATAAATACAGCAGATTTACCTTAAAAATCCATATTTTCATTTAAATCTTTTTTTCAATTTTATATAGAAGTCTTCAGAGTTCTCTTCGGAGTAAGCTCTGGAAACTATTGTTTCATGTAAGATGTAACAACAACATTCAATTTTATTTTTGCAAAGACAATTAGATTTGGATATGCACAACACTGGATTTTATTTTGAACAATATATTAACTTTTGAAAATCTGTTTTAACTTATTCAAGCTTATATCATCAGTGGTCATAAATCTAATCTGTACAAATGTATGTTGCATCCAAAATTTGATCTGGTAGTCCCATCCGTCTGCAAGACATATCTTCTGAGACCAGACTTGGATAATAATGTGATGTTTCTGTAACTTACCAAAATAACATGCTAAAGTTTAATAGACAGTTCTCACACAGTCAGACATTAAATTAAATAAAATAAAGTATATTGTGCACTTAAAGTATAATTTCTTTTATGTATCAACGATACAGTAGAACCTCAAGGTACAAGTTCAATTTGTTCCAACATTGAGCTCGTCTAGCAAATTTCTCGTAGCTAGAAACAAACATCCCCATTGAAAATAATGGAAATCCAATTAATCCTTTCCTCCAAACAAATATTAACATAAAAATCAATTTTTCTAATAAATAACACTGGTAAATTAATAACCATTGTTTACCTTTATGAAGAGTTGTGAGTAATGATAGAGATGTGGCAGAAGACGAAATGGGTTACTGTGGGAAAGTAGAGTCCACTTCTGATTCCGGAAGGATTCAGGGATTCTCTCTTCTTGGAAGTTTACCCTACTGGAAACAGGTTCTGGGTCAGAATCACTTAACTTTCTTTAAGTTGCAGGTTGCTTTACCAAAAACTTCTAATCCTTGCTTCTGTCTCCTGCCTCTTAAATGCGACTCTACATTGTTATTACACAAGTTCCTAGTGTGCCCACACACTGCTTTATTAGGGTGATTTTCTTGAAAGTTTTCACTTCTTCTCACTTTGCCAACACTTCTGTAATCTTGCTGGAAGAAAGGGCCTCATCTCCTATTCTCTCCTCCCCCCACGAAAGCTCTTCTACCACCTCTTGCTGCTGCTCCTTTTTTGAAGTTGTTTTAGTTCATTCATTGTAAGTTCTTTACTGTGCTCCTGCACTAACTCATCCACATCCAGACCCATACTTTTACCCAGACATAACAATTTCTTCAACTAGCTGCACTAACCCTAGACTATTTCAACTATTCCACAGATTGAGAATTTGAAAACCTAAGTCAGGAATACACTCAGGCCACAATTTTTTCCATGCTGAATTGAGACTTCTTCCCAAACCTTATCAATGAGATTTAAACAATTTAGGATGTTGAGGTGATCCTTCCAAAATTCTCTGAGGGTCAGGCTTGTATTTTCGGTCACTTCAGAACTCTTTTGAAACAAGGCTTTTGTATACAGGTCATTAAAGTTTGAAACAACTTGCTGATCCATAGGAAGTCTAGTGGTGTTGGGAGGAAGAAACTTGACTTTTATGAACTGAAATTCCTTCAGCAAATCACATTTTTAAGCCCTAGAGGACGTGCACGAGCATTATCAAGGACGAACAAACTTGATTGGCAACTTATTTTCATAAAGGTATTTCTTCACTGAGGGACCAAAAACTTCATTGACCCACTTGATGAAAAATTGCTGTGTTACTTAGGCTTTGCTGTTGGCCTGCCACATCACATTCAGCTGGGTTTTCTGCACATTCCCCCTCTTGAAAACTCATGAATTTTCTGAGTGGTACACAAGCAGTGGCTTGATTTGAGTATCTCCTCTTGTGTAGGCACAAAACAAGAGGGTAAGGCTATCTTTCATTGGCTTGCAGCTAGGCAAAGATTTTTCTTCTTGCGTGAAGATTTCCCTCTTAGGCATTTTCTTCCAAAAAAAAAGACTTTCATTACAATTAAACGCTTGCTGGAAAAGAAACTCCTCACTAGTAGTAAAATGGAGGAACTCTGGTGGAAATTTATCAGCAGTAGCTGTATCAGAGTTCACAGCCTCCCCGTGTCGCACAACACTGTGAACACCGGTTCTCTTTTAAAATTTTTTGAACCATCCAAGGCTTGCCTTAAATGTTATTTCATCTTCAATTGATGTATCTAGTATTCTTCAGAGAAAGTCCAATTACAGATTCTTAGCCTTAGTGCAAATGATAGCTTCTGACACCGAATTGCTTTTTAACTGCTTCTCGTTAATCCACACTACCAACAGCTTCTAGGAGTTTCAGATCATGCTTGGAAGTAACGGTAACTCCTTTGGCCATATCAAATTTCTTCCTTCTTCAGGATAGTGCAGATTGTCAATGTCGAACAGCCATAAGTCTTTGCCACTATCTGAGGCAACAATCTTCTTGGGAGACATTGTGAAATAATTATTTTCGCATTAAAAGTAAAAAACGATGAATTCACAAGCGCACAAACATGTAGATCAAAGAACACTGAGTGATCTGACTAAAGGATTCTCCCGAGTCGAGTCAGATCAGAAAACGCACCATGTATACCAACAACCTGGCTTGTTGCTCATTACTCGAGTCTGTGCTCGTATTTAGAGATACGATTTTGCTCATACTTTCCTCATTTCTCATATAGAGGTGCTCGTATCTCAAGGTTAAACTGTTTATATATATAATTTGTAAAGAAATACAATGGAAAAAAAAACTTTAATGACTTTGAAAATTTATTTAAAAAGATGTTTATCTTTCATAGGACTCAAAATGTAAAATCCTGTGCTTTCGCTTTTAAAGAATAAACTGGAAAACTATCTCATAGGAAATGTGCACTATAGGTCAGGATCTTTCTATGGAATCAATGATTCTCTTGCTTTATTTTTTTAATTATGCATTTTATTTACTTTTTCCAGTTTAATTAATTACAAATTCCAATTTAAATTTCCAAAATAGTACACATTTATGATCTAAACATTTTACATTTCTTAGGAGATAATTCTTCATTTATATATTCTCTTAATATATACATAGATTAGCCTAATTTTTAAATGGCAGTAGAGCAAGGAACAATTGCTGTACTTGTAATCTATAGTATAATAAAGTTTTAAAAGATGACAGACAATAAAATAATGAAAGTCACATTTTTTTTTCAAAAAACTACAAATACTTGGGTTGTCTAAAAAGTATCTGACCTCATGCCAGGAAAAATATATTGCTCATGTGATGGGATTAGGACTCTTAATTTCATTCAAAGTAACCCCTTGCACCTCCACTAACATACCCCAATGACCTTTCCACTGCCAAAAACTGATGCTGATCTCTGCTGTTGTGGTCTGCATTATCTTTTCTGTACTCTCAAAACAGGATCCTTTCAATATCTTCAATTTTGGAGAAACTAGAAATTGCACGGAGCCATCTTTGAACAGTAGGGAGGTTGGTGAATGACTGGCGTTCCATGTTTTGCCAGGAAAGTCTGAATTAAGTGCAATGAATTTGCTGGAGCATTGCATGATACAGTGGCCAGTTTTTTGCTTTCCAGAGGTCTGGTCATTATTTGCCTGGAACTGCATCACAGAGTCGGCTGAGTACTTGATGATAGTACACTTTTGTCATTGTTTGTCCTTCCCCTGCACAAGTTCATGATGCAGAAGTCCATGAATATCAGACAACACAGCATGACCTTGATTTTGCTTCACCTCTGTCATGCTTTTTTCGGCATCGGGGGGGGGGATGCTTTCATTACGACTTTTGCTTTTGTTAAGGTTTGCCCATGACTTATCTCCAAGTATCATGGTCTCAGAAACTGATGATCAGCACTGGTACTGTGCAACCTAAAGAGAGAGTTCTTTCTATTCTGACGACAGCAGCTTCGGTACAAATTTTGCAGCTTCTTTTCACATGTTCAAATCAGTACGCAAAATTGCATTCTCAGAATTTTTACTAATTCCATCCTCTTTGGGAGTTTCTCATGCGGTCAAACAATAATCTACTTTTACCAGATTTTCCACCCTCTCCACTGATGTAAAGCCATTTTAAAATCAGTTGAATTGCTTCTTAGTTTATTTTACCACCATACCATCATCTTCAAACCACCTGCTTAATCTTTTCGCTTTGAGAAACATCAAATTTTTGACAAAATGTGATTTCAGTTATCTTGAGAGCAATCAAAAATCCTATGAAAATATATGACAAATTCTACTTGGTGTCAAGCAAGCAGTGACCGGCACACTCATATGGTGGAGACAAAATTCAAGCATGTCTGCTTACACTGTGCTTGGTGGGTCCGGCTTAGCATCATTACTTTTGGTGGGAGAATTCAAGGTTGGATACGTTTTAAACAGACCTCATAGAATAAAATAATTTTTTTCTGCTGCTTTAAATGGTATGTTAACTTTTCAATAACTAGTCTCTTTTGAGCTGTCTGTAATATTCTTGATCAGTCCATTTTTAAAAGCAACGGAATAATTACTTGAGATGATTGTGTTCATGATAGGAGTAACCAAAGAAAGATTGTACTGAGCACATTCAGCATTGTATTTCACCTTTTATAACCCATTTTTATTGTAATTTAAAAACGATAGTGGATACTGAATCAGTGAACACTGAAGTATAACTAAGCAACTTTAAGTAAAATAAATTTTAATCCTTAAATATTTAAAATTTTAATCCAGTCAGAATTCGTTTATCAAAAATACAATGATAAACAATTTTCATAATTTATTGCATATTTATAATCTTTTAAACAAATATGAATTTTTTGTATGTATGTAATTTGCATCTTATGATTAAATCTGAAAAGGATTAGATGATTGGGGTTTTTGTTTATAAATATTTCTGATACAAGGCTTATATATATATTTATGAATATGTGTCAGATATAAATGAAAATAATTTTTGTAGCATCTACAAAATTTAAACTATTCAGGACATATGCAATAGAACTTTTTATTTTTAGGCCCTTAATGAGAATGAAGATCTCATATTTGTAAAACCACAATGGATTTTCAAGTGTCATGAACAGGGAAAGCTTGTACCTTATCAGCCTTATATTGTCATTCCGGATACATAGAGGAAAATATTGGTAGAGTAATTAATTTAGTACATTTTCTGTTTATTACATTGTAAATACATTGTATTATAAAAAGTACTTGTACATTTTATATTGATGAATCTTTATTAAACATTTTGCAGCAAAAATGTGTTTGACCTATTTTCTACAGAGACTGTTTGCATATATATTAGACGACTTTGCTATAAAAAAGGCATATGCTTGGGAAAGAATTTTTTTTTTTTTTTTTTTTTTTTAATTTAACCACAACTATTATTCTTGAAAGTTTAAAGTATTGTCTTCTACTTGACAGTTTTGTTTTCATCCACAATGGCACTTTGATCGAAGCAATAGATGGAAGGCTATCTTTGTGCTCTTCCTGAAGTTATTCATATCTAGCTATTAAAAAACATTGTGAAATACATGGTTTTTCAATGTCTAAAACTACGATAGGTAATATTGTCAATAAGAAAGGAAAAAACATCATGTTTGGCTTCATGTGGAAAAATAGTTCTTAATACCTATGGAAGAAAAAAATGGAATGTTCTAAAGGTAAGAATTTATTATTGAAAGAAAAATCCATTAAGTCAAAGGACAGTTGATAAGAGTGCTAATCAAAATAAAACTAATCAATAGAACTAAATCAAAATAAAGCCAGCAACCACATGTCAAAAGGCACTGTCAATTTCTTGGAAAAAATGAAACAAAAAAATGGGTATCAAAGTCTTCACCCTTCACTCATATCCACTGGCAAATAGGCTAAAGAAATTGGCCCTGGTAGAAAAAAATATGTCAGCCTTAAGGCCCCATACGAAATCTCATTATACAGAATTATCATCATCATAAGAATTTTATTAAATAAATATATATGCAAATAAACTACAAACAATAAATAACAATGACTAAATAATTATATAAACAAAACAGTTGATTCATAATTAGAAATTTAAATATTTCTTAATTCCAGGTGCCTGAGCAAATATTTCTTCCATTATACCTTAAATTTTTGCTTTAGCCAAAATATCCTGCTCTATGTTCATCAATAGCAGTGACTCCAAATTAGCTTGCTTCATAGTACTCCGTAATCTACTTTTTTACAACTTTTAATTTTGAAATAGCTATTTTTGCATTCAACTTGCATTACAGATAGGGTGAGTGCAAACTTATAAGGAAAAAAAAAAAAAAAAAAAAAAAAAAAAAAGACATTGGTGTATGCATTACTATATAAATTATATTTCAAGAATAATTTATCGTTGGATGAATGCTCATGAGCAGATAGAGACTTTCTCCTTTTGACTCAGTATCAGGTTCAAAATCATGATTTTTATTGAATTTTTTAGTATTTTCTGTTTAATTACTAGGTCCTGATATTCATCCTTAAGATTATCAAATTATTACACCTGCATAGTACCCTAATAATGTAGATAAATAGTCAAAAGTGTTCGGCAACAACACTTTTGACTATTTATGTTCGGCTTCGAAAAGTTTTTGGGATCGAGAAGTGATATGTCTTCATACAACATCCCATGCCCTTTAAACTTACTTTCCATAGATGAAATGGTGTTATCCATTATAAAATTAAAGACAGCAACTTCGATTTATTTGATAGGGCAATTGAAATTATAGTCAGACGATTCTTTGTCGTCCATTTGTTTCACTTTTCGGCATCTTCTAGCAGGTACCTCTTCTTCTATAATTATATCACAATCCAGCCTTTCTATTTTATTATTTCAATCCATTGCAAACTATTTTGATGCATTAACTATTAAATTGAAGTTTTTTGAAATGGCTTTTAATGAACTTGCAGCCTCCCTAACCATATTATATGCTAGGGTGTAGCCTTTAGATTAAGCCTTTAGATTGCAAATGAGTCGTTACTGGCTTAGTATATTTAAATATTTTCAAATATACCTGAACAGACAAAATTATTCTAAAAGTTGATACTTTATCCAGAATAGATTTTGCTATTTGTCATATCTGTGGATTTTGTATATCATAGGAAGATATACTTTTGAGTGAAAGTATTGATTCTACGTGTGTTCTCTCACGTGCAGGGCTGTCTCGGCGAGTCGTCTGTGTCGATTGGATCATTCGAGTTCCTTGATCGGCCAGAAATTACTCCGGGCATGTGCCCGGAGTTGATGTTCCTTGATCGCCGTGCCTGGTCGCCTGCCGACCCTATACCCCGCTGCTCATATCCCTATTAAATCTCTTAATCCCATGGATTTTTATGCATTTGGACTTATTAACGGATTGTCCAAATATAGACCTACAATTCTTCTTAGACTTTAGAAAGGTGTTCAAGGGGACTGGGATAAAATGCCTCTTTCAATACTACAAAAATCTTTAGTATTTTGGAAATTAAGATATAGAAAGATAGTGAACATTTAAACACAGAATTTTGGGTGAAATATTTCTATAAATACAGAGAAAATTGTCTAAAAAATGTGGGAACAGCCTCTGTAACTGTTATATTTAAATTTAGTAATTCTTTATTTTGCTTTAAAAAAAATAACTCAAGCATTACTGCAAGTCAGACATTTATAATTATGGTGCTCTGGAAGTAAATTTAAATAGCAGATCCTGATTTAGAAGGCCCTTTTGTAGGGTCATTATAAATTGGCAAAGCAAAATAATTTTTAAAAAAGTTTTTTTCCATGTTGACACTTTTCAAAAATACTTTTTACTTACTAGTACTTTTAACCCTTCAGCAGCTATAAGATTAAACAATTCTTTCTCCTCAACTATGCGTGATATGTCAGTGGCAGTGCGAATAGATGGCACTTTCCTCCCCCTCCCTAAATAATTTGTTATCATATTGAATGCCATGTGAATTTATAAAGATATTCTCATCAGGCTATACATGCTTAGAAGTGTGTTGCTATTATGGTATAGCAGCCAAGTGCATTTCTAAGTTTTTTTGGTTGAAATTAGAAATTTTTTACGTTTATACTCATTCAGTTCTCTGTGTTTCTTGTCCAGCACAGACAAAAGTCTTTTTTTAGCCTAGACGTGAAAATGTCAGTTGAAACAGTTAGTTGATTATCACCTCACAAACTGTTGGAATAAAGACATTCCATCTAGCAGTACTGCAACTATACTAAAAAACAACTGGAATAAAGGCTACCTCTGAGCGAGCAAAGAAGTTATCTTTTTAAAAGGAAAAATATACATACGAGGGTTGGAACTTTAATATTGGCAACACAGCTGACAAAACGCTACGCAACAAAACCAAAGAATATCACGTATACCACACGTAAACTACATACCTACCTTACCTCTCAGCAAAAAGACTCGTCCTGCCTACGTCACGCACATGCGGAGTGACACGAAGAACGAATCCTTGTATTAGCTTGCGGTCTAAAGTAAGTGTTGTCAGGATGTTTTCAAAACAAGAACAACAATGTTGGATAAAAATTCAATGTGCCAGAGGTCGTACAGCACGACAGTGTTATCAAGGGCTTCAAGAGGCTTGCGGTCTGCATTGCCCTACAGAACCGTAGCAAGATGGGTGAAAGCATTCAATGAAGGACGCCAAAACGTGGCAGACATGCTGCGGCCAGGTTGTCGGAGTGTCAGCGATGCAGACGTGCAAGCTGTTGCCGCACTAATGGACAGTGATCGCCAAGACGATTCGTCAGCTGGCTGGACAAACAGGATTAGCGCATACGACTGTGCTGCACATTCTGAAGGAATGCCCGTCCATGAGAAAAAATGCTTCACGATGGGTTCCACATCAATTGACGGAAATGCAGAAATGGCTACGATACGATGCTGCCTGAACCCACCTGGAGAGCTATGAGTGCAAAGGAGATGCTATTTTATGCCGTATCATTACGCTGGATGAGACTTGGGCCCGATCGTACCAGCCAGAACTGAAACGCCAATCAAACGAATGGTGTCATCACGGGTCACCATGACATTTGAAATTTCGTCAGAACCCCAGCAATGTGAAAGTTATGGTGATTATCATCGTGTACGACTGTGATGGTGTCATCCTAACGCATACCGTTCCCCCACAGCAGACCGTCACTGCGCAGTATTACTGTTAATTTTGGGAGCACAATTTCCGACCAGCTTTGAGAAAAAAACGGCGACACTTTCTGCAGAACGCTCCTCTCATTTTGCATGACAATGCTCGGCCGCATGCAACACAAGCTGTGACTGATTTGTTCAAGCGATGGGGCTGTGAAGTGCTTTACCATCCACCATACTCCCCAGATCTAAGACTATGACTTAATTCCTAAGATGAAGGAACCACTTCGTGGCACTTGCTTCCAAACTGTTCCTGAGATTCTTGCGGCAGTAGACTGGTCCATTCAAACTATCAACAAAACAGGCGCTGCTACAGGTATTCTGCGACTTCCACATAGTTGGAAACGGGTTGTGCACAATGCTGGCGACTATATTGACAGACTGAAAGTTTCTCATTTCTAGCTATAACACACAATTAAAATATATAGCCAAAAAAATGCTTGAAAAAAATTTGCCTTGGGCAAAAATCTAATTGTTAATTGGATCATGTTCATTAACATTTAGGCAGAAATTTGTAATGCGAACTATGTTCATTTAGGCCCATAGCAGTGCAAAAATGGAATTCAAGCTGAGCTCACTGATGACCATCAAAAGTTTAATGAAGTTAAATATTTTAGTTTTTATTACCTTTATGTAGCACAGTGTGATACTTCACAGTTCTTGGTGTTTTGTTATTTGTTAAAATCGTTAACAATAAATCTGCTCTCTTTTCTCATTGTTTTGTAAAAACAATGTTTCCAGTTGATTTCTGAGCAATAAAATGTTTGAGTTATTGTATATCCAAGAAATTTTTAGAGGCAAGCTGCGAGATCGCATTGTATTGCCTTGGCAAATATTTGAGATATGACTGCAAACTTGAGTTTTTTTCTTGGATCTTCAAAAAAGGTGTTACATTTCCGACTTTTAATTGACCACTTTAAAGTGCATGTGAGAATATAATGCTTAAAACTAATAAGGATTTTAAAAAAGTGTCTGTGATGCTGGCAAAAAATATTCTTTATAAAAAAGATGAAGAAATTGAAAATAATAATGAATTGTAACATAGTAATGGTGGAAGTGGGGGTTGACAGATACCTGTCAAATTTCTCTTAACAAAAGCAAAGCTTAGCAATATGGTGATTCATGTTCTATAGTTCTGTTGAATCTAATAATCCAATTCAGATCAAATTAATAGTGCAGTAAAAAAAAAAAAAAAAAAAAAAAAAAAAAAATTGTTGTATAAAATAAACAAAACTTAAAAAGATAAAATTTGCTTGTTGAATTACAGAGTTTTAGATATTTCTGAAGAAATTCTACAAAATAGAACAAGCGAACTTGGCAAATATGAGATATAGTTTGATCAAATTTATCTTTTATCCACCAGATATCAGAGAGAAACATAATACTCGTATAAAGTTTGTATACTATAAATAGACATGTCAAGTGAACTTTAACATGAAACGATCAAAAGTTAGAAAAAACTTTAATTTTAAAATTCAAAGTTTGTTCATTAGGTAGCTACAAATGCAAAAATAAGATGAAAAGAAACATGTCTAGATGAGAACAAAAGTCTTCCAGATGCTTCTGACCAAAGAATAAGAGACCTCTGATGTTGTCAGTTGATGGAAGCATTAATGAGAAACTACTAAGCATGAAGTTTTTTAAAGGCTAAGAGAAAACAGATTAGCATTCAGATTATTAATTAAACAGAGTTTTATAAATATGAAAACTTCCAGAAAACCTAATTAACCCAAATTTTGTTGATAAAAATTAGAAAAATTTAATTTTCTAATTAACATTGACTTACTTTTAGAGTCCTTTGTTTTTAAATAATTAAAAGGTCTTACCATCTGTGAACCCTTATTTCTTACTTAATATTTTCATACTTTTTTTATTATTGGCATATTTTTTAGATGGAAAAAAATTATATTGCAGTCATAACTCAATTCCCCCCATCCAAATCCAGGAATTTCAAACCTTTAAATATGTTTTTCCTGCAAACAATTAATTTACAAACGCTCTGGTTTGGCATTGTGCTGATGATTGAGCCTAAAAAAATTTGAAATTTTAGCATGAAAGGCATTTTTGGTTTTAAAGTTTCTTTAATAAGTTATGTACGTATTTAAAAATTAGGCAAAAATCATTCATGAGGTATGCTGCTATATATTTGTATGCTAGTTCTGACTAGTATGGTTGATTAGTAAACTTTCTAATTCATTTAATTGCTAATATGCTTTCATTTTAGTATGGGTACTATCCAAGATTTGAATTTGCTTTTATAAATGGTATATAGTACATAAAAATATAAGTGAGCATTTTTTTATTTTTATCATTTAAAAATTTTTTATTCACATTGTAAAAACGATGAAAATGTTAGAATAAATTTAACTCAATTAGATTTCTTAGAAACCAAATTTATGAAATCTGTTCATAGATGAAATACTTTCATAGGTGAACTTTCATAGATGAAAGAATTATTCAAAAACATTTAAAACTTTATTTAAATTGTGGCACCACTGTTCGGAGACATAAATAACATGACAATTTAATATAATTTCAAACATTAGAATAATTTTTAGAGTGTTTCACAATGGACTGTAGATACACACCGGAAATACTTTGCAATAATATTTTGCTCGTAAAATTAAGTATGTGGGAATGATACAGTATTAAATTAGAATAAAGGTCAATTACAAAACATTTGTTAGGCTTGTTGGAAATTTAATTATTTCTCTTCAAATAGCTGGTAGACCAAGGACCTTTTTCTAAACACTGTGAGTATTCTAAGTATCTAGACATTTATTATTTTTTTTTTTTATCATTTCATGTATATCATTTCACTCATACTTCTTAACATTTACAAACAATGATATGAGGAATTGTACACAACAATTACTTTTCAGGACAAAAGTCAAATTTTGTAGAAATATGAACAACTTTACATATTACGTAATGTTGAAATCCATAAGTGTATTCCACTTTCGTGTTTTTTCTTCTGCCTTTAGTCAGAGTGTGTCATTAAATATTAACTTATGCACAAAAATGTTAATAAGGGCTTTGATATATGACCCTGTATATATTGCTTATTGTGATTAAGTATAGCAAAAATATATAAATCTTGGAGCAGAACTTGAATAAAAATGAGACTATGAAATAATATTAGAATTTGTTTTCACAGTATATCTGTTGCTTTCAGTTCGAAAATTTGGTAAATATTCAACTGTAATATCTGGTGTTTGTTGAGAAAAAGTATGAAATAATTTTAATTTCATTTGCAAGGTTCAAGTAATAGTTTTTTGAATGCTTTACGGAATTCCATGTTAAAAATGGTGTAAATGACAGGATTAACACAGCTGTTTATGTAACCCAACCAAGTCGTTAGTAGAAAAGCTGTCACACCGGGTCGGCATGAATCGCTCTGGAGTTTAATGCAGATTGCATCTAGAATATTGCAAGTGAAGAATGGCACCCAGCATATCAAGAAAACGCCTAAAAAATGTTAAAATAATCATTTCAGTTATACATGGAATTTTAATAATAACTGAAAGTAAATAATATAAAAGGTTTGTTAGTGAGTGAACTCGATCTTTGAGTATAAGTAGTTATAAAAAAAAAGGAGTTCTGCAAAATGGGTTCTCTTGTATGGGAAATGCAGTCATCCTGTAAAAGAGGCAGCAAGGCAGTATACATTATGTTTTCCTATTCGTTCTCATCCTACTGCAACTATTGCCATCGATGTTGCTCACCTGCTTATAGAAATAAATAGTACTGTAAATCATTCGCATTCAGGTCGGCCAGCACTTGCAGATATAGTATATGTACAACCAGTAGACATCCTGGCCTGAGTTAGCTCATCCACATAGCAATATATGGTATGGTCATGTATGGAAAATTGTGCATGAGTTGTGAATGCAATACAGTACAAAGTCTAATCCGGACATCCATTATCCGGAATGACCTATAATCCGGACCTCAAAGCCATAAACTTTTTTTTTTGTATGCTTTACGCATGTACGTTTAGCACGAAAAACGAAGCAACTTAAACAACTTACATTGAACGAAATGTTTAATAAAGTAAACAAAATAAATAAAGCTTTTTTTTTTGTAAATTTTGGTACCCTTTAGATCATAATTGCTCTTTATTTCATAAATTATGGTTTCATATTTTTAATTGTATATAATTTCTGCATGCCATCTTAGCAGATTTAAATTGATGATCTATAATCTGGAATCGCCGAAGTCCCGACGAGTCCGGATTACAGACTTTGTACTGTACTAATGTCAGGACTGCCAGTAAGAGTTTTTAGAGATGACACAACTGGGGCAACGTTGGATGTACAGCAAGATTTCTTGGCTAATACATGAACTTACCAGGTAAATTTAGACTGGAGTGGAGTATTAGACCGGCACAGCTAGCATTGTCAAGCACTTGAAATGGCAGCAAGAAGTCCGTCATCAGATGCATTAATTCTTCAAGTCTGACATGAGATTTGGATCATTTGCCTTCTAAACCATATATTCTACAATGGAACAGGATGAATGTACTTGGAGCTACTGCAAACCACATTTAACTGGTTTCCGAAATGACTCGTCATCTGCGATCTTTGTGGGTTTAGCATGATGGTGCTCTACCACATTAGCTGGCACTAGTATGAAGCTTCATGTTGAGCAATTTTTGGCACAGGATTTATCAGCTTTTTGAGGTAATGTGTTGTTACCAAGGTCACCTGACCTAACTCGTTAGATTTCTTGTGGGGCTAAGTGAAAAACATGGTGGACAGTTTACCATTATGATATTATGTATCCATAAACCCATATTACACCTGAAATGCTGCACAGCATCTAAAAAGAGGTTCTAGCTTGAAGATGTGTATAACTGCTAATGGCAGACTTATCAAGCATGTTCAAATATTAAGACTTGTATTTTCTAATTCTAGAAAATTATTTTGCATCTGCTTCTTTTATAATGTCCTAATGCTTTACTAAATTTTACAATGATAACATGTACTAGTTTCATTAGTAAATTCACATCTGCTTTAAAATTTCGCACATTACAAGTATGATATGCAGGTTTATCAAATAATGATAGATCAATATTTTAAAGGTTCTGTTTAAATTACTAGTATTTACTTTAAACTTTCACACATGTACAATTATGCTATTATTTATGCAGGTTATCAGATAATGACAGGTAGCATTTTAGAGGTTCTGTTGAAATTACTGGTATACAGTGTAATTTCATACAAAATTAGTGATGTTATACACATCTGCTGCCGACATTTCTCGCTCCATCTCCATAGCGTTATACATTACGATCGCTAAAACTCCAAACTAACTATAGGGATGCTGCCGTATATCTCACAAAGGAACACTTTCTTTCATTAGACCCAATGTCCACATCTTTGGCATTCTGCACTGAAAAGTTATTCCACTGTTAAAGGGTCCCTGTATATATTTTCAAAATTTCTTGCTGTATGTATGGTAAATCAAGTATGGTAAAATAGCATCAAATATAAGTAGCACATATTACACTATAATGCATTTAATTAGCACAATATTATAACTTTTTTGTTTTTGATTCTGAAAGCTTCTGATAAGTAACTGTATTTTTCTGCTAGAAAAGGAACCCATATTGGTCTCTTTCTTTGTCTCTTTTTGGCATAGACTGGTACTTTTGAGCCTGCTGGAATAATAATAAACTAGACCTCATGACAGTCTAACCTGAGAACATATACATGGCTAGAATGACCTTTTCACATTGTTCAAGGTATTCATGTGCACTAAACTGTCCGCAGATGTTCAATTCCTTCTATTCCCTCCACATCTGGTGACTTCTTGATAAAACCCAGTGTATTTAAATAACAATAATTTTATGCGATGAAACTGCAGTTGAAAGTGATAGTTAATTGAAGGGTAAAATATTGAGCATGTTATTCATTTTCTCAATTTATATGAAATTTTTCACCATTATCTAAATATGACATATAAGAATTTGATAACATTTAAAAGCAAAATTGTTACTTAAAACATGAAACCGAAGAGCTAACAATGTATTTCTTGCAGTTTGTGTTAATTTGCTTTTCCCAAACTGTTCGCTTAGTTATAAGTAAAACACATAAATTTGCTAATAAGTTATTTTCTCATAATTTGTAAGTGGTTACACAGTTTGTTGCTTCCAAAACAGTGAACCTGAGGAAAATTTTGAATTTTTATTTTCTAAATATGTTAATTGGATTTTAATTCGTGATTGTTTAAAATACTCTGACTATATTTTATAACAAACATTATAAAATTTTATCCTATATTGATTGTCACCTAAGATGCATATTCTTCCAATTTTGCTTATATAATCACCCTTGCATAATATGTTTTAATACTTTATTTTGCTTATTAATATTTAAAATAAAAGATAAAATAAACTGAGATCTTCAGATTGCAGTCCAATGACTAAAGAATTTACTTTTAAAAGTTTCAAAATATTAGAAAAATATTAAAAACTTTAAAATTGTAAAATAAACAAAAATTATGAAACAAATAATTCTATACCAATAAATGAACCTAATCAGATAAAAATGTATCATTAGAAATGTCTTTTATTAATTACAACAAAGTGCAAATGTTCATGAGAACTAAAAAAGTAAAAAAAAATATTAAGAAGTACCATCATTGTCTTAGGAATAATAGAAAAGAATGCGTAGCATCCAAAAGCCGAAAAGAATGCGTAGCATCCAAAAGCCAAAAAGGATGAAGTCCGTAAATTGATTGGAAAAGAGATTGATTGGGTGACACTATGCAATTGGCTAAATGCATGAGAAACATAATACAAGAAGAGAAAATATGGGAATTAGATTGTCTGGTGGTGCATTGAGTGCATGAAACTTAACACTATGAGTTGGATAGTTAAAATTCTTTTATCTTAGTGGGATTGACTATGCCAGTTAAAAAGGGGCTTTTCTCAGGGCCAATATATGGTATGCCACACATTAATATTAATTAAAGACTGGATGCTTGTATTTAAAAAATAAAGTTCTCATGCTTTGTCAAATGAAACGGTTATGCACAACAGTGCATGAAATGTATGTCTTTTGCTATGTATAGGTGGAACACATTGCTTCTAAACCTCTATATTTTATAAAAAGCATGCTGATTCAGGTCTCCAAGAGTCTGTGAATTATATTTTGCAGAGGTAGGACTATATAAGTTAGGTAAAACCAATACGCTTTCTTCGAGGTATAAAACTAACAAGCATATCGTATGGAAAATCTGGCTGTTCCTTTCCTTAGCTGGAATCATCTGCATATTGAGCATATTAATCACTGAGTTGCTTAACTGGTTAAGTAGTTAAGTAAAACACTGGTAGTATAGAGCGAGTTTGTAATGACTGAAAGCACTGAACTGCATGGGAGTCTCACATATTATATAAAAACAGTCCTTTATCCTTAATAAGTTCCCCATGAAGACATTCTTCACTTGGATCGAAACCTTTGAGATCTTATTAACTGTTAGACACCCATTTAGAAAAATAAAATCTTTTAATAAATCAAAATATATACATAGCAATAGGATAACATAAATCTCAGTAATGAATACAGTGTGTAAATGGACTCGTAAAAAAAGAAGGCAAAAAGTTATCTTTTTGTAGTCACGCAGAGATGAGATTCTTATCGTGCATGCGCGAGGACTCGAGGAGCTGAAGGAATGGGGGGGGGTAAGGTAAAACTAAGATTGAACTACTAGTATTCAGCGGTCGTAATCATTTAGCCATTGGTTGGTGGGACATTTCCACGTTAGATTTTCTAAGGGATGTTAACTTGTATTTATAATGTTATTTACAACTTGTTTTTATTTCTCACTTTTTTTAGTCTGTGGTCTTGAAAAGAGCCCTTGTGTTTTTAATTTCTGGCCCTGAAAAAAGCCCTTTTTTAACTGGCGTAGTCAATCCCACTAAGATAAAAATAATTTTAACTATCCAACTCATAGTGTTAAGTTTCATGCACTCAATGCACCAACAGACAATCTAATTCCCATATTTTCTCTTCTTAAATTATGTTTCTCATGCATTTAGCCAATTGCATAGTGTCACCCAATCAATGTCTTTTCCAATCAATTTACAGACTTCATCCTTTTTGGCTTTTGGATGCTATGCATTCTTTCATATTACTTCATATGAATTCAACTGGGTTTAGTTAGCATTGTCAATGTCTTTCTTCAGCAGCTACTGATCGATATCACACAATTGAAATTGTTTTCAAACTTTAGAAATGATGACTAATAGTTCTGCTTTCAATATAGTATTAGCTTCCCAATAAATACTTTTTTTCTGTTAACCAAAGTTGAATATCTGCTTTTCTTGCACTTGAAGAAGGAATGTTTTTAGACAAAATACTTTGGTAAGACATACTATCCAACATAATTACACTGTTAAGTTGCTACGATAACCACTTTACATTAGTTCACTGAGCTCCCCAAATCTGCATCGAAAGAATACA